GCAACGCCAGCTACTCCTAACCACTAACCCTACAGGAATTACAAAGAGCCCTAACTCAACCCCGCTTAAGGCCGGGCGCCGCTGGAATTTCCTAAAAAGTTGCACTAACATGATCAGACAACGGCCTCCTCGGCCACTCCATCGGCGCCGGTCATGGCAGCCGCTACACGCAGCGCCTCCTTGTTGAGGCGGGTCAGCTTGGCGATGCAGGCGATGTCATGATGCAGGTATGGAGGATGGCTTTCCCCTTGCACTCAAACTCTCCTCTGTTCACCATTTTGCTCCGCACGAGCAAGCATCCTCGAAAGTTTGTCAAGTGTTTCCCTTCCTTACAGCATTTCCGTGTACCAACATGTAAATACAGCAAAAAAAGTGTAAATTTCTTTTGACAACATTGACACAAAATGTTACTATCCGGCCCCAGGTTTTTATTTCAAAACTTGATCCACAACTTAAGAAACTATGAACAGTAGCAAGTGTATTATTCATGCTAGATTTGAACCATGGTACTCTCCATACTCGGATTCGTCTTATCTTTTTCTTTTCGAAATATGTATATGGCAACCGTGTGACAGATTGCGAAAATACCACACGACCTCGGGGTGCTTCGATCGGGATCATGCGACTGTTGGCGATATGCGTGGGGCAGTTGATCGACTACGGGCGTGAGTGGCCTGGGCGTTGACCCGCGGGGCTAATTTCGCTTCGCCGCTGTGGTCCTTTTCGTCCTCCACCTTGTCGACGGGAAGCTCCACTGCGACGTCTGTCGTCCTCCTGCGCAACAGCCTGTCCACGGGAGCTTGGGAGTTGGGACTGACCACGCCATTGTCGTTTTCTCCTCAGCGGAGCCCTTTCCGGCAATCAGTGTCTTCTCACCGGCTTCCTCGTCTGTCTCTGTCCAAGTCGATCTCGCATTCGAGTGTGGTGAGAATCGCCGTTCCTCCTCCCGCTCGCCCTGGTCGTATGCACCCGAGCGCAGGCCGCCATGCATGAGCTTGAGCTCGGGCATGGGAGCTCGCCCGGTGCACACACAGCAAGCATGCAAGGCCACGCCCCGCTGCACCATGCATGTGCTCATCCGCACCCCCGCGCACCCCCAAGACGCCAAGGGGAAGCCTGGTAATTCAGGGTGAAGCTCCGTCGCGAGCAGCAGCCATGGCTGCAGACCAAGTGAAGCCTCGTGCCTGTCTGCCTATAAAAAATCTCGCGCTGATTCAACAACATGAAACAAACTACTACCAAGTGGCTAGTGCTATGAGTCATAGCCCAGGCCACCAGGGATCGATCCCTAGTTTTGCCCAATTTTTTTGTATCTCTGATTTTTTTTCCCATGCTCGTGTTGAGCAGTTTGTGGGTGGTAAAAAGAACAGTTGATAATGAGGATCATTTTGGCCCCCAGAAAAAAATTGTTGACAATTACTGTGGTAACAATTTTGACCCCAGAAAAAAGAGTTGTTGAAAGCATATCCATCATCATTTTTCTTGAATAAATAGTGTGGTAATATACGTACACACACCTAATAACTTACACCCAAATTTCATGGTAACTTTGACTTGAGGAAAGAGTTGCTGAAGAGCATAACTCGCTAACTTATTTTTGCGGGAAATAACCTCACTAACTTATGCGTATATCATGGTAATTTTATGCTTCACAAACTTGCTAAATTATGTACAAATATTGATAACTTTGGACGATTTTGACCCAACAAAAAGAATTGTTGAAAACATATCCGCCGTCATTTTTTGGATAAATAGTGTGGTAACGTACGTAACGCACTTCTGATAACTTACACACCAATCCGGTGGTAACACTGACTCCGGGAAAGAGTTGCTGAAAAGCATAACCTAGCTAACTTTTTTTGCAGGGAATAACCTCTCTAACTTAAGCTTATATCATGGTAATTTATGTTTCACAGACTTGATAAATTATGTACAAACATCGATAACTTTGACCCAATGAAGTGGTGTTAAAAACGTGCCTTTGATAATTTGCGTAAATATTATGGTAATATAAACACCGCATACCCGATAACTTACATACAAACACCTTGGTAACTTTTTGATCCGGGGAAAAAAGTTATTGAAATACACGCCCTGGCTAACTTACGTGTAAATAGTATGGTAATATATGTCCCGCATACCCAATAACTTGCATACAAATACCCTGATAACTTTAACCAATGATGTAAATAATTGTTGAAAAATATAACCACATGATAACATATGTGAAAATAACACGATAATTTACAAACCGTGTACCCGATAAGTTACATACAAAAATCACGGTAACTTCAACCAAGAAGGTAAAAATTTGTTGAAAAACATATCCCCTAATAACGTCTACGAAATATCTATCTGGCACACTAGATCGTTTTGACAAAACTGCCGAACGACCTGGCTGCCCTTCGATCCCGATCGCTAGATCCACACGATGTCCGCTGCCTCCTCCATCCCCGCTCGATTCGTGGGGGAAACTCAGCTGCACCCTTTCTTCATCCTCTCTTTCGAATTACTCCCCAACCCCAAACCAACCGATATCGCTTACGCCGGCGCCCTCACCGTCTTGCGCCGTCCTCCGCCGCTACCCCTAGCCTCTCCACCTCCCCTTCCCTCACCCTATCATCCTATCTGAGGCCCCAAATCGAGCATCCAGGTCAACCGGCGGCTAGATCCACCACGGCCACTGCGGTATGTCCGGATCCGCGCCCTCGTGACGCGACGGAGGTGCTCGAGGATGATCGTAGCCACATGCGCCGAGAAGGGTTCGAGACGACGGAAGGTTGACGATGGAAGTGCTAGAGGGCTCGCGAGCGGCCGTGCGTGAACCATCTTGCCCAAGTCTGGACGCGGCTGTTCAAGTACAATGATGCCCAGATGGGGAAGTTGAGCATTGTTGCTGGAATGGCACCATCGTACCCATGTCTGGACGGGGCTCAAGCAAATTCAGCGCTCCACATGCAGGTGTTCAAGATGCCACTCGATACCAAACGAACAAAGTTATTTGAAAAACATACCCCTATTAACTCATGTAAAATAGCATGGTAATATACGAACAACATGGACAATAACTTACATACAAACACCTAGGTAAATTTGACCAAAGTGGAAAAGTTGTTGAAAGCCATACCCCTGGTAACTTGTACAAAAATAGCACGGTAAAATATGAACCGTATACCTGATAACTTACGTACAAACGCCACGGTAAATTTGACTAAGGAAGAAAAATTGTTGAAAAACATACCCTCGATAATTCTATGTAAAATGAGTGGTAATAAACCAAATCCATACCTGATAACTTAAGTACAACCATTGTGGTAACATTTTTTACTGTAGGGAGGGGGGAAGGAGTTGTTGAAAAATATACCATGAAAACGTGTATCTAAATAGCATGGTAATATACGAACCGCATACTTAATAACTTAAGTACAAACACCACGGTAATATTTGACCAAAAATATACCCCGGTAACTTCTATGTAATTAGCATGATAAAAGATGAACCCCGTACATGATAACTTACGTGCAGAGACCATGTTTTTTTGCATCTGAGAAGGAGGGAAAGGGACGCTCGGGTTTGTGGACTATGTGAACCGGTGTGAAACATGTAGAAAAATATATGGAACTAGGGTGCATAGTCCTAATACCCGAACTAGTGGGGCGGCCGGTTTGAATTTTAAGTTACTGTCTTTTTTTGTTCAATCTTGTCCCAACAAGATATAATTAGTGTGTAAATTGTCTATAATCTGTAGAGCGGAGTAGCCCAACTGGATGTTGTTGCTAAATTTACTATGTGGGTCGTGGGTTCGATCCCCACCAATCCCTTATTTTTATCTTTCAGGGAAAAACATGGGGTGGACGCGGGATCGAAGTACGGGGTTGTTCCAGAGGACGTGGGATCAAAGGGCAGCCCAGAAAATCGGGACATGGGATCGCAAGGTGGGAGGTGGGTTGGTATTTTTGCAATCTGTCACACGGTTGCCAAATATTAGTGTCCTTTTCTTTTATGCTAATAGGGAGGGAACGTGCCCTCCTTGTTCCCCGGGAGCAAACCATCCTTTGCTTTGAGAGGCTCTTGCGAGGAGGCATTCACGCATGCACTTCTCCCCCTCTTCAACATCTTTTTTTCTTGAAAAAAAAAGAGAATTTGCCATGTCAACGGAGAAAATTGTCATGGTATAGCAATGTTTTTTTTAGCCACTTTTGTTACCTAAATACTGTAGTAAATAGAAAAGGCTTGCTCCAGATGGAAATCGAAATCAAGTCACCCAAGAAGCAGGCCATAGAACTATGCTCAGCCCAAAGACCATCTAGGCAAGCGCAAGTTTCTGTCAAATGATGGAACATCTATATTTATTTCTATTTCTGTACATGTTTTTTTTTTGTCTCAACCAACCGTTGAACCAGTGAACCGGCGGTCCGACCTGTTAAAACCAGAAACAATGGGCTCATCGGTTCGATTTTTTAAACTATGCCTACACCGGACATGCCATCAGAAATCTTTGTCAGCGGCGTTGCCCCCCATTTTGTTAGAGCATCTCCAACGGCCGCATAAAAATTTAACGCCCAATAAAAGTTATAGCGCGTCATTTTAGCATTTTTAGTGCGTCAAGACCAACATCGTTTTTGGAGACGCCCAAAAACGCGCACATAAACAGCACACAGTGTAAATTGTGAAGTACGCGCAATCCGGAGTCCAAAATATGCTGCACGCGATAGCGTTTTTCAGCGTGCGCCCAAAAACTTTTAGCGCTACAGCATCTGCTGCATCTACTGGAGCTGTGCGGCGCTAAAAAAATAAAATTTTAATGCACGAAGCTTGTTTTAAACGCCTGTTGAAGATGCTCTTAGTGCGCGTAAAGCCATCCACACGAGCCGCTTGTGGCGAGAGACAGAGAGTCAAGAAAGGCGGGGCCCGTTTGTCCCGTGAGAAACGATAACGAAAACTCTCGCGTCCTCTCACCTTCTCTTAACTCTGAACTCTGAACACCATAACAACAGGAGATGGCGACGTCGTCCCCGCCGCCGCCCCGCGTGTGCGTCACCGGCGGCAACGGGTTCATAGGCTCGTGGCTCGTCAAGCTGCTCCTCTCCCGCGGCTACGCCGTCCACGCCACCGTCCGCGACCCACGTACGCAGCCACCACCGACAGCCACCCCTGACGACACTGCTCATTTTCTGCATCTTGTTAATCTTCCGGGTCGATGCATGGTTTCTCTTGCAGGTGATCCGAAGAACGCGTTCCTGACGGAGCTGGACGGAGCCCCGGCGAACCTGCGGCTGTTCAAGGCGGACATGCTCGACTACGAGACGGTGGCGGCCGCGTTCGCCGGCTGCGAGGGCGTGTTCCATGTCGCCACTCCAGTGCCCGACCAAAAGATGGTTGATCCACAGGCAAGTGCAAATTCGCTTAACTGCAACTATTCCAAATTTATTCAAGCTATATCTGAAAAAAAATAGTAACTGTTAGTATTATTCAAGCTAGACCTGAAAAAAATACTGACTGTCAGTTTGGGATGGAATCGAAGAAGTGCAAGAGAAGAGGAATGTGTTTTGGATGAGCTCAGAGTTTGACTGCGAGTGCCACTGGTCACTGATGTCAAGATGCTTTTCTTCTCAGAGCTGATTCTTTTCAATAAAAAAATGAATAAAATCTTCATTCAGAAAACTCTGTGCTTCTATAGATAACCCCTTCCTGCTGTTATTACTGATAATAAACTTGAAAAATTGTGCAGAAAGAGATGATGGAACCTGCTGTCAAGGGCACCATGAATGTGCTCAAGGCTTGCTCAGCTACGAAAGTTCATAAACTCATCGTGGTCTCGTCCATCGCCACTAGTTGCTTCAACCCGGATTGGCCTCGAGATAAAATCAAAGATGAGACCTGCTGGTCAGACAAGGAGTTCTGCAGACAGACTGAGGTCAGCGCTCAGCAATTAATCAATGATGGTGAATTAGTAAATGCACCAAGTGCATGCCCCAGGAGATTAAAATCTGCCACCAAAATCTTAAGAGAGTAACATCTTCAGTTTTACCGAGTTCTTGTCAGGGGTAAGTGTTATTTTTCATGTTTGTGTTGGCAGAACTGGTATTCTCTTGCAAAGACTGAAGCCGAGGAGATGGCCCTGGAATACGGAGAGAAGAACGGGTTGCACGTCGTTACATTTTGCCCTGGTCTGGTTTTCGGCCCTCTGTTGCAGCATGTGGCGGTCAATACCAGCAGCAAGGTCCTCGTCTACATGATAAAAGGTTCCACTCCTCAGCTCATCTATCACAAGGATACATAATCATTTTGTACATAGCACATCACATATGGTTAGAGGTTAGTACTATTGGAAACCAAAGCCGGTTGTTTCCCTTCCATTTTGCTGTTGTTGTTGTCGAAGTGCAGCAGATCGATGAAGTTCAGAACAAAAATTGACGCCGGAGGAGCTCCTCGGCTTTTATACTAAGAATGTATTAAGACAGCCTCGGTTTTAATGAAGTTCAGAGCATGACCTTTTAAAATACACATCCTTGTGCCTAATGTAATTCCATCATATGTCCGATCCCAGGAGGCCCCGACACGATGAACAACAAGTTCTTTCCCATAGTAGACGTTCGTGATATCGCCGACGCATTGCTCCTGTTGTACAACAAGGCAGGGTCATCTGAGAGATACATATGCTCACTGGACCAAATGGACCTAAAGGATTTGCTGGCAATCATGAAGAACATCTACCCTAGCTACACTTATGTAGGCAAGTAAGTGCCATAGCATCAAGACTATCAACACCATGTCATAGCTTGCTTATCATACACAAAGGATTTTCATTACGAAATTTTGGGTTGGCAGGATGGTTGATGTGGATTTTAACGTTGGAGTCACTTCGGAAAAGCTGAAGAATTTAGGGTGGAAACCAAGGATGTTGGAGGAGACACTCGCGGATAGTATCGAATCCTACGAAAAAGCAGGGCTTCTTGGGGTTTCAGATGACGAACCATGCCGGCTTCCATTCATCTACCGAATGCCGCCTATCCAGGAATGAGAATGATCCCATTATTGTGCCATTGATTCTGCATTTGGCCTGAAATATCGTGAAATGTGTTCTGCAAAAATAAGCAAGGGTTAGGTCTCTATTTCTCGACTCCTCCACTAGTCCATTCAGGATGGATGCCGATGCAAATATTGTGCATTTGTGCTCACTTTCGTCAAGAGAAAGTGGATTCCGGAGGAGTACTCTTAAAGCAGTGACTCCAGATTTATGAAACATACCGTCTGGTCAAAATGCTTATATGAAAGTCTAGCAATGAGGAATAATAGAGAGACTTTGTTTCTTAATTTTGATATGGCTCTTATGTCAAGCTCAAGACAAGGTTATTTTTCTCTCTCGCATAAAACAGTTCAGCTTCCTTACAATACTAAGATAAAGAGAGTTATATCTAATTAAACACATTAAGTTTTAGATTATTAAAGAGCATCTCTTCCAGCCGGGTGGTCTCTGCACCCGAGGGTGAACAGTTGGTTATTGGTTCCTGACTAATTTTTCACCACTAACCTTAGACAAACTCTGGCCGCCACAAAAGGTGTGACGAACAAAGGGGTAGTTTAGTTTGTGGCTAAGATTGTCCTAGGTTGTCACACCTAAGTTTAGGCAAGTTTGAAAAACCTAGAAGGGTATTTGGTTCAAGCCTCATCTTAGGCAAGATGTTTTTTTTTGGGCACATTAGGGTCTCATGTCACATACACTAAAAAAGTGCGGTAAAATTCCCCTAGGCTTGCCAATTTGTGACTTCCATTTTATTGAACTAACCTTAGTCAAGTTTGCCAAGAATGTGTAGTAAAGTGTGGTACTGCAAGGCCTAGAACCTAACAGCCCTAACACCACAAGTGTGGCAAGATTTGGCAAAAACCTGAGCCTATGACATGTGGACTATGTAGTTACAAAAAGTGTGGCGAGACATAAATGTGGCAATGAACCAAACACATGCCTAAGATTTGGTGACATCCCTTAGGTTAGGTGTCACAACCTTAGGGAATCACCCGCCGGGTGATGGTTAGCACTAGTAGAAAACGGATCGTTAGTACCGGTTTGTAAGGGCCTTTAGTGCCGGTTATGGAACCGGCACTAAAATTTCGGCACTAAAGGCCCCCCCCCCTTTAGTACCGCTAAAGTGCCACCACGTGGCGTGAGCTCGCGCCCTGGTACGGGGGACCTTTAGTACCGGTTGGTGTTACCAACCGGTACTAAAGGGTTTTTTTTTGAAAATTTTGGAAAAAATATTGATTTTTTTTATTTTTAATTTTTCTGAATTATTTGATGATTTAGTCTCTAATCACCTCTCTTAACTGCTCAAGTGTGGATCACTCATTCCAAATCATCTAACTTCCCGACCGGTCACCCATCCCTCTCACTACTCCAGCCCGAGCACGCTTAACTTTCAGGTTCTATTCTCCTTCGTTTCCGAGTATGCACTTGTTGTTTTCCTGACAATAGTAAGATGTCAATCCTATTAACCCTCAGGAGTTTAGCTTGAGCATGAAGTCACACATTTCACCGTTTGAGTTTGAAACTATTATTCTAAAAAAACAATAATTATTTAGTAACGCTAATATTTCTTGAATAAGTTTGACCATAGTTTGACCAAAGTTTGACCAGATTTACCAAAATTCAAAAAATTGAAATAATTATTTAGTAACACTAATATTCTTGAATAATTATGTAGTAACACTAATATTTCTTGAATAAGTAGTTTGACCACAGTTTGACCAGATTTGATCAAAATTCAAAAAATTGAAATAATTATTTAGTAACACTAATATTCTTGAATAATTATTTAGTAACACTAATATTTCTTAAATAATTAGTTTGACCATTGTTTGACCACAGTTTGACCAGATTTGACCAAAATTGAAATAACTAAAATAATTATTTAGTAACACTAATATTCTAGAATAACTAGTTTGGCCATTGTTTGACCACAGTTTGCCCACAGTTTGAATATTTTTCAATTTTTTCCACTCTAGATCTTAAAAGCCCCGTAACTTTTTTTCTATTAGGTTTTTGAGGATTTTGCAAATGTTTAACGGGGTTCCCCCGATTAAATTTGGATGTAACTTTTCGAGTAGATGATTTTTCATATAAAAAACTTTTCATCCGAGTTAGTATGCAAAAGTTATGCCCATTTTTACAAATTTCAGAGAGATTTTGCAAATAAAGTCAAAATTCACATTTGCAAATTTTCCCAACAACTAGACCACATATCACATGGGAAACTTATTTTCTTTTATTTTTTTGACATTTCCATCATTTTCG